ATAGTAGCCGGCTTAGGAACTTCTGATTAGTAAATTCTCTAGTTCTGGTTGCTGTCAGGGCTGAGCTGAAGTTGAAGTCTAGTGGGGTAATCGATGACGCCGATGATGCGACGACGGGGAAAGGAAGGTTCATAGGTGCGTATAGACAAAGCATTGATCGCTGAGAGCTCAGTTCATTTGAATTTTACCGATGTGTGTTCAGGTAAACTTATCAGACCCGACTCTCTTCACCATTCTAAGTCTATCTCTGCGAACGAGCCAAGCCCGCCGATTTCGGATTCATCCTCTGGATCGCCCCCAGCGGTCCCAGCATCTCGGATGAGACAAAATACAGCTCCGGTGGGCGCTGGAGGAGTAACGTCACTATAATCACCAGCAGGAGGTTGGGTAATTTTCGAGCTGACTGGCGTAGTCTATCCAGCTCTGTCCCCGGATTTACCTTCATTGTGGTTACCAGAGGCTATCGATTAATTCTTTGTTAGTAGTTATTGACTTCTTTTATCCCAGGTGTAGAGTATATTGTTGGCGACTTTACTTTTGCGACACATTGTTCACAACACTTTCTGTGGCACAAGACTTGAGTAGTCTGGGTGGGAGTGAAATATACTCAGCACGGAGGGAGGGTTCTTGTACCCGATCTATGTCGGGCTTCTCCAATATAGTATTACTTTCTAATGACCGTAGCTCCCCGGGATGGGGCTTCAGCGCAAACTACGTTCGAGGTAGTAGGTCACATGGTTGGGATGATCACCATTTGGAGGTTGGGGATGACTCGTGGGCTTGAGTTTCCTTCATGGGAAAATTCTGACTGTCGTATCCCTTTTCCTTGGTGTCACTGTGATGTGCGTTGATGATTTGAACTGGTAGGGCGGAGGCGCATGCATCGAAGCTCCTACTTTCGAACGATGATACGGATGTTTTGCTTGCAGGTATTGAACTCAATTGTGATTAATCTTTTGGAGCCAGCGGGTGAGCATAAGCTACGGGGGAACACTGCTGTTCGAGAGGAGCGGTATGACGATGCGAAACAGGATTACGAACAGGGTGAGTTTCTGGAGGAGTTGTATGTTTTGATAAACGACTCGAGCGCATGTGGCCGGGACTGTCTACCGAGTTGCTCGAAGATCGCGATGGGCTTATCAATTTAGATATCGTTGTCCGTGGGAACCATGTTTGCCATAGCTTATTCGTAGGGCTCAAGCTCGTATGTGAATGCGCGCTCGCTCTCAATCGAGTCATGGAAGCTCCGAGAATTCAAAGCGAAGCTGATCTTGGCGCTGTGGAAGAGAGAGATAAGAATCGAGTGAAAGTAGTATTGTTGTGGTCTCGAAATTGTTAATGCACTCGGATGGTGAAAACCTGTTCAATTCGGGCACTCTTGGCATTCCCATTATAGTCGTGCTCTGTAATTTTGTAGTATGTATATGCAGATGATTGCATGAGATTATGCTCCAGATTTTCAGTCCATACAGTATGAGCTAGATGCTCTCCGTCTGGCATTGGTTGGTAACCTTTCTCTGGTGCATCTGCGTTTGGGAGATTGGCATGCGGCGATTGCACATGCGGATATAGTTCTGAGGTAGGTTTTATTCACTCGGTGAGGATTTTTAGCAAATTCTTTGACGGACAAGTGGACAACCTTATTCGACAGTGGAGTGAAATCGGGCATCAGCTGCAATCAAAGACAGCGATGCTGAGAAACTACTCCTGATTGGCGCAAAACAGACCTGACAGAGCGCCCGTGCAAAATTTCTCTGAATCAAATTTTGTCTCAGTGTTTCTCTCAGTTCTCGGCCAACGCACTGTAAGGCGCTGTATAGGCGAGCGCTGGCGAGATTCGAATTGAGTAAGAAGGTCTGTGTTCCCATTTCGTGTTCTTCGATTCACTGCTGCTGATCATGGAATTGCAAAATTCGTTCCCTGAGTCCTGAGGGATTGAATAGTATGGATTTTGATAAGTCTGATATTGCATTCACGAGGAAGTGATTTGATGCGTAATTCGGAGTGAGAACTTTCCTGATCGCAGGGAAAGGTCTTGTTCTACCTAAATCTGTTTTTTGGATCATATCGTTCTCGCGCATGCATGAGGAAACCGTATTCGGGCACTGATGCCCATGCGTATAACATCAGATTTTGTATGCATAGAATCTGCCTAAAGTTCTAATCCCGGCCACCTGTACATGATGAAGGATTCAGAATTCGTGTGTAATTTCTCCTTTCTCGTGATGAAGGCAGTGGGTAATAAGCCTTCATTTTAATACGTATAGACTAGTGGGACTACATGTAAGTCCACGTAGTAATTATTGCGTGTTCAGATGATCCTGAATCTCACGAGTTGGGATATCAGGACTTAAAGAGAGTGCTACAACTAGATCCGGGGAATAAGGACGCAGCACGACGACTTGCCGAGTGAGTTCCGAGTCGTTCTCATTCTGATGCATGGGGGGGGGGAATAATTTTCTGCGAAGCGAGGCTCAAACTTAGGTACACCGAGGCTAAGAAAAGTCCCCCTCACCGAAGTAAACCTCGCATGATCAACGCAAATCTGTGAAGGGTCATCGTCCGTCAGGAGAGGGAGCTTCTTCGTCCTGTAGGAGTGGTTTGGACCAAGCTATGCAAGGCATTCTAGTGGACCCTAGAGGTGAGAGCTCGCATGCAGTTCTTCTTCGCAATGTTCTTTCTCTCGTCTCAGAAAAATTGCCAGCTAAATCGTCGTATATGCGATGTTGTAGCGCCTCGTCTGAGGGAGACTATTCAATCTTCGTGAGTAACCCGTAGGTGGACTTGTCGACCTCGGTACAGTATTTCGTCAATTTTTTATTATAATTGAATCTGTTGCTGGCCATTCTGGCATCATGCCGGTTCAAAATTTCCACATCGTAGCACATTCCCTGAAAATAGGATAGAAGGAAATATCGTAAATTCCTCGTGATTGAAGTATCTAATTGGCCACTCAGCTTTGGCGTCAGATATTTAGATGAGAAAATTCATGGTTTGCATTTCGTATTCATTTTTTCTGTTATGCCAAACCGAGCTGGAGGTCTCTGGGAATTGCCTCGTCCTTTCTTGAATAATGACCATATTCCAGGACTGGGCATCGTCGTGCTTCGGAGTGCGGAAGCATACGAGGAGGATATAATGCATCAAGATCGACCATGAATGCTCGTTTCGACTGTACTTCCATGTGTTGTGCTGACCGGGCTCATATCGTAGTGCTAATGGAACTCCCATTGGTATTACTTACAGACTAGAACTTTTAATATCGGTGGTGAGACTTTCAGTAAACGAAATTAGCGTGGATAAGAATCAAATCTGTGCCCCAGCTACAGCAACGGGAGAACTTGCGTGTTGAGGACGGCAAAAGCTTCGAACCTTAGATTCTAGTCATCCTGATTTCCAAAGCCTGTATGAGAAGCACAAAGGAAGCTTATGCCTTCATGCACGCAGAAGACAACGTACTGCCCGTGCTTATTCTCTTTTATCTATATCAACGTGAGCTCATGCGACACACGTGTTGGGCAGTTCATTGTCGACCAGCATGATATTGTTGGTCGGAATTTCCGATCAGGAACGAGCCGTGCAAGCCGTGTCCAACACGATTATCCAAACTGTAGCGTCGCGCCGACCGCATTTCTCAGATTCGTTGCTTACGGCCTTCCTAATGATGAGAACCTTCCTCTTCATTGTAGCACTCGTACATGCAGCTCACATCACGATTGATGTAGTATTCTCGGCTACGATTCTATGAAGGTTTAGTTATGTTTTATTCGTTGTGTTCGAGCCGTTTGAGATGGAACGTTTAGTTCTGGCCACGAGAGTAGAGGAGGTGAAACATCAGTGATGTTACATCACTCGTTGCAGGTACATGAGCATGTCCCTTCGGCGTCCTTCATGGCCAGGCAATCGAAGTCCTATATAGACCAATGGGAAGCTATTGGAAACGCAGAAGAGGTTAAGGATGATGAAGAAAGAGATGACAGCGTGAATGAGAAAACCGTTGGCGAGAAAGATCAACATGAGTCATGATTCAATCGTTGATATGTTGAACTTCTGCGAGAGCAGAAAATGTCTTGCAGTCGTAGAGTTTCGAGTCTGTGAGGGAACGCTTGGAAGCTACGCTCCGACAGAACAGATCGTTCCTATGATGAGTTGCCAAACCTAATAATGGTATTATCAGGACATTGTCATCGCGACATGTTGTCGACAAAAAGAAATTATTATGAAATGCTCCTGACGGCGAGATGTCGCAGCCTCCGATTCTTCGACTATGACTCTAAATTCGTTGTGGACATCTCATACGGTGGGCTCCACCTGCACTGATTACATGGACCGTATAATATGGTGTAACACGTCGTGAAAACTCAAGCCATAGCTCTTTCCATCTTGATGGTGTTGATAGGAATGCAACAAGATTACGAGTACGAGACTCCGGAAAGTTAATTGACTTTTCCGAGCATGGCCGTGAAAGAGGACTGAAGCCTCCGAACCTTCTTCGGACACGCTCGTGAACTGGATGTATGAGTGATGGCAGGTCTGCTCCCGTTTCAACTTGTCCAGTAACCCCCTAGCCACAGCACGTAGTCTCCAGTCCACACAAAATGTCATAGAGTGTTTGCCCGAGTGGTTAAGGGGGTGGACTTAAGATCCACTGGACACGGTCCGCGTGGGTTCGAACCCCACAGCACTCATTTACATGCGTTCCAGTCTCGAAACTGTTTAAAGGTTCTGTGGATTCAGTAGGACATGGCGAGCATCAATCACAACAGGACGACCGTACGATTGTGGGGATATCTTTTTCGAGGAGACTCGTGTGTCGAATCTCCAGAGGTACTAGCCATGAAACAAGCTCCGTCTCGACACGCCGATCAACCATGTGTCTTGATATTAAAAGACATTTCCTAATCCAATCATTACGTGGGTGCTGCATTAGATATACGACTTCGGGTAATAGATAAAGTCTCCGTGTCAACTGTGACGTCATTTACAAAGAGGCAGGCCACCCAGTGGGTTTCACATTGATTAATCACGTAAGTTAGAGGGAACTTTCCATTCAATCGTACGGGTGTGATTATCACACTCTCACACTGTGATGGTATTGAGAGTGCTATCAAGGTTATTGACGGCTAATCGAGCATGTAGACTCACTAGAACGCAACTCGATAACGGTGCATCACTGAGGAAGACAGAAACTAGAATCGAGAAACGAGGAATGCTTAACAGAACACAACTGGAACAGGAACTCACACAACAGTGATGCTCGGTGGCCGAGGTTCGGTCCGAACCGTTCGGACGGAATCACCACGCGTACATATACAGCTAGATTGAATTGACGACCTACGGCAGTAGCGGATCCTGCATTTCTTTGCCTGAAAGAAAGATATTCAAAGAACAATGAGTAACGCAATCCAAAACACTCGCACGACCCGACCTGGACTCACCGTGACTCCTATGCTTTTTGTACTCACACCAGCCCAGCTCGGCAATCATCCAAAGTGCCGCAACACAAACCAGAGGGATAAGTATAGACAAAGGCGTCATCAAGAACGACGATGCCAAAAGCACCACGGTAATTGACGCACGAAAGACCGGGATACCTGCATCATGCAGGCTGCATGGAGGGACCTTGGTTGAAATTAATGGCGAAATTATCAACAAAACCCCGGTCAACTTCAGCGGATGCGGCGCTGCCAAATGTACGAAGACGGTTCGGCTAGTTTAACCATAGGCAGCTTCGAGTCAAACACTTCGAATTACCATTGCCGATTATCCAGTACCGAGATCAACAACCAACGGATTCATTACTCTCATGCTCACACTGAATCTGGATTCCCGATACGTTGAAACTATTGCGACTTCAAGATTCAATGCTTAGTCCTATAGTTTGTAGGTTCGCGAGAGTCCGACTGGTCCTGAAGCTTACTAACATAGTGGCTCAGCCGATTCCCGAGCGCCAGTCCGCAGACCGCGCCGGCATTGAGCACGACGACTGTCCACAGATCAACGCTGTCCACCAGTGAGCTCGCCAACAATACCGGGAGACGGATGAAAACATGAACAACTGAACAAACAGAGTGTTGCTTCGCGACAAGCCTCACGCGAACTTACCAACGTTCATCGTCGCAACTGTGCCTCTCCAACATAGCGGATCAGGATTGGTCAGGAGGACAAAGACCATATTAGGAGGTCCGCCGATACCTGGGATCTATGGTCGTCTCTGGGCAGACTCGACTAAAGCCGAGCTCACTGAACAGGCCGTTCATCACTCCGCTCGCAACACCGGCCAGAACGGTACCCAGCTTCAGTGAAAGTGGCCCCTTAGGAGACAAATCAAGATCTTTTGCGACACTGTGGGACGAATCTGCATGCTAGGCAATGTCGTCACGCCGCGCGATATGTGCTACCGAGGATTACTTCCCTTTGTTTTGATGCGATCATGAATTTCATTATATGCTTGCCATAAAGCCAACGCACTCAATATTGCGCCCAGAACACTCCTAAGAATAGGAACCTGCAGTGTAGAGAAATCAGAAAATGAACAGCTCAGCTCAACCGGTACTGACCTCGTTGCGGAGACGGTCCAGCAGCATAGTGCAGGGCGCAGCAGCGGCAGCCGCTGAAATCGAGAAAGATGTGCACGTGTGTGAGATAGGTGAACTCTCACAGATGGAAGAATTTCAAATCCCTACGAGATTTCACCAGATCTTTTGAAAATTCTCATTCAACACTCAGTCGCATTCCATGTAACATCTGTTCGGGTGAGATAACATCACACACGGACGAGTCACGAGGATAGGACTTCGATACTCAGCGTCGCTGAGTATTTAATTTCATGGTCTATGGAACCGAACGAGTTAAGCCGATCAAGACCAGCTCTATTACGTTAGTATTACTCCGCAGTATTCCGAAATTGCACGAGGCGCCATAATTAGTAGGAACGACAAGACCATCCCTCCTGTGCTATATGCACAGGGTCCGTACACATCGAGGTTACATTTCGATGATGATCAGTCTCATAAGCATCGCTATCAACTATAACTTACAGAAATCTGTTTGGCGGGCAAGGCTACCAAATTAGCAGATAGAGAGATTACATTCGCGAATAGAAACATCAATTTAGTGGACAGAAATTTCCCCCTCCAAATTGATTTCCCTATATGCCCCTGACCGCTGGGTTGATTCACGCGCGACAATTCTGAGCGAATAGTAATTCCCCAACCCTTCCGACATGCAATAGAAAGGTATGCTGCGAGCCAATAATTGGCCGTACGCCGAAGCTTCAAGAACTGAATTAGTGACATCAATGGGGAGTGTAACTACGACAAGGCAGCAATGAATATTCCGAAATCCGTTCTCGAGTTTATTACAGCAACTTGAACAGCGCCGGTGACCACTGAGCCGTCACAGTAACGCGGAGCGATCAACCCCATGACATACCTGACAGAATACTCTTCCAGTAGCTCTATAAAACTAAGATAACAATGACTGCACTGAGATGGTGCTGAGCTTACTAACTGGTAACACGTTATTGAAAATAGTACGATGGACAAAAAGACGAACCGCGAGTCACTGTTGAACAATGCATCATTTCACAAGGATCGCAGTTGGATCGAATCCTTACAGCAAACATGTGGAAACACGCCAGATGGAAACCAGCAAGCAAGCGGACCTTCATGTAAAGCCTTTGAAAATTCCAGAGAATAAATGTCGGTAAAATTGGTAACCGAACAGCGTCGATCCAGGAGGATGCTCTTGTCCTATACCGCGCCCGAGCTACTACCATATAATTTGATACAATACTGCATTTCCGAATCCGGAGATCGCAAAAAGTGATACTGAGATCGTTGCGTTGAGAAATAGTATCACCAACGTAGGTATCGGCGTAACAAGTGCTGTTATCATTGCAAAGGCAGGTAACCTGCAACTGAACGCGGGACGTTCTACTTCATTGTATTTCCCACTATTTCTATTCCAGTTTTAGTGTAGTTCCCACTTCGACAACACAACACTTATGCTCCGATCGAAACTCCTCGTGATAAGCCACGAGTCTTAATTCTGGCAACTTCGTCATATTAGAGTGGTACACCCAAGCTTAGATAGTAATGCAAGTCTCAGTGATGATAAGCCAATTCCAACGATAACGGTTCATTTGGCTCGCAGGGAATTTGCTCCTTCATTTGCCCTTCGTCGTAATGTTGGAAGTGCAAATATGATCTTTCCAAATCTGCACAGGGCCCGCTCACTCCCGTCACCTTCTCGACAACCCATACCTCGATTCCTGTGCCTAGTATACTTTCCTGAGGAAAATGCTCGAGATATCGATCGCAATGGCGTGCGCTGAAATATCAGCGCAAGACTTGGGCGTAACAGGTTTCGCCAACTCGGATTTCGCCAAGTAACCACCGCACAGATTTCATTTGCCAAACACCAAGAAAAGCGGTCAAATACGGAATATTACGCTGATAACACCGGGTCGGCGTTTCCGATAGTAGACTAGAAAACGGCGGAGTTCTTGGCGAAAGAACGATTTGGTTGGCGGCGGAAAAATAGTTGGTATAACACCTACGTATGAAGGAATTCAGCAACTCTTGCTGAATACTGATTTCCGCGACTTGGCATGATTCATGAGTATACGGGTTTTGCCTAGTCGTCGGAAGACACAGATTATACCAACATTCAAGAAATTGTGCATCCAGCGGAGCGAAGTGTAATGGACCAATTATTAGTCTTGTGAAGTTTATAATTGGTGGATAACAAATATGGTGAGGTTAGATCTGTGCCGAACTACGACAGTTCGTCTGTCTGACCACAGCCTCATCTTGTGTCCAGCTTACACATATACATGTCCTTATTCCATCCTCTCTCATTTTCGTCCCCCATTCGTGACGTGACACGCTCTCTTATGAGTCCCGTACGCAACGTTTCCCATTTGTCGGAAGTCTGCTTTTATTACGCCGAGTGCGTAAATTGGCACAGTCCTGTTGTGTTATATGTCTCCATAGCGTGAGGGAAAACACAAGGAATGGATAAACTCCTATGGAATGGTCCGTTTCAAAGGACATGTGTGGAAAGTAATGGCGGGTAGTTGTCGCTTTCGGGTAGTGGTAACTCATCCATAATTTGTTAAGAATCTTAATACATTATGAATGAGTTACCACGGTCCATGTAGGTCTTATGTCTCTGTACTTGCAGTGCAACACATGTCCTTACTCACTTACTTGCAGTGTAGGGTATATGGTCGTTATTGCGCTTATGTCTCTGTACTTACAGTGCAACACTGATGGTTCCGTCATTCCATATCAGTCTTGTATTGATATTCTTGATTCCGTTGTGGAATCTTACTGAAATTTCAGTGTAAACAAGTTATTGGTAAGTGGTGTATGAAATACTAGAAACTTTCTAGTAGAAAGTAGAAGTGCTGACATTGTCAATCAATTGAAATCAGATGGCTATTGTCAGCCTGACAATAGCCATCTGATTTCAATTGATTGAGTTTATTCTGCGTATTGTTATTGTTTTGCGTTTGAAGTTCCGGGAAAGACAAAAGACACATTAACACGACGGAAAAGCCTACTCACCGAATTATCAAATATTCACACACAAATGAAAGATACTCAACCACAAAATTAGTGCATACCTTACTAACAGCGAGTCACGAACCAACAAGGCAAGAACTTGGCATTCTGCACGCGAGCGAGATAAGATCTCTACGATCTGATGTCACTACAACTCTCGTAGGATCTAAGACGTAACAATCACCTCGGCCGACACGTGATGTGTGTACGTCAAGACGCCTGGCTCGAGAAGATATTCCCGAAGCTCAATCTGAAACGAGTGAAGAGTATTCGCATCCATATTATAGTCATAGTATTATGTCACGATGTTTCATGTAAGTCGAAAGTCAACGAAAGTCCCATGGTCATCTGTCGGAAATGATCTGATATGATGAACAACTCATCATGAACTTGAATATCACCTTCAAAAGTCTCGAATCGAGACTCTAACTAAGAACTGCCAAGTTGACGCAACCGTCATCTGCGAAATTCTGTCATGCCATGAAAATCAGCAAACATGTTTCGGCGACAATTTACGGCGAATACTGGTTATAAGCTGAATACGCACAAGTTTTAGGCAAATCATGCGTGTACAAGAGCTTTCACCTATTAAATTAATTTGTTGGCAAATTCTGAATGACCCCATTTACGACGATAAATTCGTTGATTCCTGGTTTAGTTTGGCTGTGTTGAAAGTATTCGCCTAACAGAGCCAAAATTATGGTCCTATCCTGCACAGAAACGGATTTGGACCACCCCTTGTAGGCAAATTACATGCTATGAAGGTGGTTTGCGCGTACGGGCGAGCGAATTCGAAAGTTTGGTAAACGGTCATACCAAAAATTTCGTCGAAACCTGTTCGCTACAGATACCAATGCGCTGTAATTCCGTCTGCGAGGGGGTTATAAAGGATTTTGCCGACTAGTCATTTGACCATTCGGTTACAGGTTTCGCCAAGTTTGGCGACTTGGCGAAACCTGGTGCTCCGCAAGACTTGAGCAAAAACCGTTTTGGACGTGCGTTGCGTATGGCAAGTTCTGAAGACGATCATATGGCGTCTGTATCGTCAGAAGCCGCAGTTGTCGATGAGTTTGCGGATGAGTCTGAGGTCAGAGGATCCTTGTACTTCAGTGCACCGGTCGAAGTAAGATTCTCATTCCGAGTAACGACCCCCGGATTCGTATAGCAGGTACTACCTCAAACTAGACGGACGGCGAATCTGCTCGCCCATAAAGCTGCTGAGCAACAGAGGAAGAGGTAAAGCGATTGGGGGTGAGATACACGAAAGCAACGCAATACTTCTTTGTGACACTACCGAGCACAGTTGCGTTCCTCTGAGCTACAACCTGATCGTAGCTACTTTTCGGGTGTAGAGTGAGAAGTTTCATCGATTTCAGGGAAGAGGCGGCGGAATTGAGACGGAGGATAGAGGAGGAGGAAATTCAACGAAGGATCCGCGAACAAGAGGCCAAAAAATTGGAGTTGCTGATGAAACAACAGCAAAAGGAAGAAGTAGTGTTTTAAGTATATTATTGGTATATGATGTCCTTTATTTATTCATTATACGTATGTATTCATAGGTTATCGTATATGCTAATATCTATGGTCATTATTAATTCTATAATCATTTATTCTATAATATCAGATGTCAACACGATTATCTGTTGTTCAGGAGCGAAAGAGACGCGAAGAGGAAGAGCAACGGAAACAGTTGGAAGGGGGCCTTGATCTTATCCTAGCACAATTACACCTCAACACCAGCAACGTCCAATCTGTATCTTTCGAAGGTACGGTACGCTGTCAATCCTGTACCACGTGTGCACTGTGATTTGCTCGTTATCGCAGCGGTATGCTTAATCTCGTTACACCAGTGTTTCAGGTGTCGACGTAGCAAGTGTCCGACTACGACTGCTTTGCAATGCACTTACAATTAACAACAGCTGTACGGCTATAACGCTGGTAATAAGGATTAGAGAGGAAGTTCAGCTGATAGGCTTAGCCGTATATGTCCTCGTACACTTGATTGAAGTACGCATTATTCTTTACAGGCTCGGAAGGGTTTCAACGATGAAGATGGTGTATTGCTGGCGACGGTTCTTGGAGTAAATCGAACCTTGAAGTACGTGGATTTGGAAGGGAATCTTTTCGGACCGGAAACAGCTCGGAAACTCGGGGAGGTGACGGTTAGTCGCAATTGACGTTTACAACGGCAGTTTATCGCGTTGGCAGGTCCTGGCTGTGAACAACGTGTTGAAATCTTTGAATCTACGCGAAAATGATCTTACTGCCTCCGGGGACGACCAGGAGGGAGTGGCTGAACTCGCTCGCGGATTGGCGAAGAGTGAAAACAGTTTAATGGTGATACGGGCGTACAACGATGGAAGCCTCTCCCCTGAGACTAGTTTTTGAAACTTGAACTGATACTTTGTGTTCTAATAGAAACTTCCATTATGAGCGTTCATGCTATCGTTGACGCAAGTCAAGCATACTGGTTGGGATGTGTAAGCAATGATGGTATGTGCAGGTCCTTCTACTAAGCCGCAATAATATTACCCCGGAGGGTGGAGAGCATCTTATTGAGTATGTGAAAGAGCAACGCGCCCACACCAGCAGTCCTCCCCATCCAGTCATTCTCGATGTTATGGAGAACTCTCTCACAGTTGAGCAGGTAGATTCTTGCGACTTTGGAACTCTGCGCTCTCCCTAGGTTATATTTTCGCAACGCGCGCATTGGAACGCGTTCCTTGTTATGATGCATGCTTCACTCGGCGTCGTCTGCGTGAGAAATCCTCGAATGATAACGCACATGACAGGAGAAATTGACGTGCAAAATGAAATGAAGTGTATAATATACACTTCTGAATTTTAGCAGTAAAATGCGTTATATCAGTACATGGATATTGGAGTATTTTCGGACAGAAATTTTATCTGACTTATATCAGATGCGGGAGCTGCAGACGATTATTGACGCTAATGCAGCTGACCTGCATTCACGGAGAGTCCTAGAGAGGACTGAAAGACTGATGATGCAAGCAGCTAATGACGAGACACAGGAGTGGTTGGAAACTGTCGAGAAGGAACGAGTAGGACTCATGGCCTCTGAGACAGAATTTTGTTTGATTTTGTTTCAAGGGAAATTGATCTAATATTTCATGTTGTATCTTTTATCGATTCGATTTTGTAACACTTGGAGTGCGCATACATCCTTCTCGCCTTCGTACATGTTGTGTCAGATCACTATATCCGGCATTGAAAGCAGACGGAATGAGCGCGGCAGAGGATCCATCGAAGAGTGGAAGTTGGAGGCTCATAATAGGTTACTAGAGGTGGGGACGGGGTCTTTAATCCATGTGACCGAATTTCCCGCACCGATGGACAGAAGTTTCTGTCGTTCATTCACCGGTGTCATTTCTAGGGATCGCGCATATGGGAGGAGCTCATGCAAGAAGCTGAGGAACGAAAAGCTGCTCGTAAGTTTTTGTTTTACCCTCTGCAGGGTCAATGAGTAGTTGGGATATTCTCAGGAAAAGGGAAAAAGGGAGGGAAAAAAGGAGGGAAGAAAAAGAAGTGACGAGGCGTTGCGTTGTGGCGCAAAGCATGTTCGTTTGTTTTACCAATGGTGTCCATTTACTGAATCGTGTTGAGCATGAGTCGATGGTAAAGACTCCGAGGATAGACAGTCGCTCGAAAATTCGGCATCCGTGATAAACCTCATCAACTCCGTTGTTAGATGAGATCGCTTTTTGTCTTAACCGTCTACAATCAATGACACATCACTGGAGTTGTGCGGCGCCCGATGATGCCGTTGTTTCGTTCATGGGCATGGTTAAAAACTACTTTTTCCCGCCTCCTGAGCACATCCTCACTGGTGAGACTTTATAAACTCAAGTCACTAGCCCAAAGAGCCACTCTGCGTCGGAATTGCGATTCTCTTCTCTCAGACTCACCACAATTTCAAGTAGCCCAGATGAGGCATCGAGCGGAGCCTTCCCAGTTCTACATGTTCGAGAGGACCAATAGGCCACGTACGTTAATGCGGAATGGATCTCCGTCTAGGGTGCTTGATATGTCGCAGACGACGGAACAATCGTTCCTGATCCCAACAAGAGTAGTAACGGTGTTGGAATACGGCAGAAATTCGTGTCCCATGGTAGCGGCTTGGGAAGAGCTTATGGCCCAGTACCTGATGAAGTGAGTTGTGCAAGCTGTACGATTCGTTGATGCACTAAGGAGTCCGTATCAGGTGATTACTTGGAAAGGTGCAATAAGCCCGGGGCAGAGGCTTGTGGATGGTTTGCGGGTCGATTGGGATAAGCCACCGGCCGATGTATTCTTCTCTGATAGAGCGGTGAGGATGTAGCTTCTGTCAGTTTCGTGTCAGAGTCCTCTCTGGGAACAAGGGAGGGCACTGGGTCAACGCTACCGAATGGACGACAATTCCTCGAGATGTTGCGAACAACACGCCCATAGCGGGGTTCTCACAGAATGTTATCTTTCGCCAACCGATGTGGGTGAAGCAGCTCCAGGTGAGTGTCTTGAGAGTATCTAAAATTGGTATTGATCACGCGCTCCACTCTGCCCCACGATAGTGTGGAAAGTTTGAGAAGCTCTCCAGGTTCAAATGCGAGATCCAGCGCCGTACGGTTATTTCGGGATAAACCAGTTAGCGCTTATAACTCATCCATGTCCCTCAAAGTATATGACCCCGCTGATCAGTTGATAATGAGTACTGCCTAGTGTTAAAGTCAATGATTCCGCATTTACCACGGGTACGCATGAGTGACAGTAATAAAACCATGTAGGGATTATGTTGCAATATTCATAGATTCACCTCGATTTACGAGGCATCTGTCACAGGTAGAGTTATTAACATGTTGAATCGACAATGAGTCCACTCAGTACTGCCGAATCTATAGGCCCCGACAGGCTGGAAACGGAAACGACTTTTCCTAAGGATCTTCGGGTTGCTATACGGAATGTGACAGCATTTCGAAACCTCGTTGAACTCAATACAGAGATGCCTTCGGACGATCCAACACCATTACATGCGGGAGCTGCCAATTACCGAGCAAATATTTACACAGAGTGAATGTTGGGTGGCAAAAAGGCAGACTTCATTCTGAGCCGAGGGTAAAACCGAAAGCTCCTTTCTTAGTCGGGTCGCGTCCCAACCCTTCAGTGACAAGCACGTTGGTGGGAGAAGCAACTTCTTCGACCGCAAGTTCAAGCAAGCTGCGAGAGATTGATCTTAGCACCTCCAACTGGCCCGTCCCTAACCAGAACATCTAGCTTCGAATAATCGTTATCAACATTACCATCAGGATCAGTTGCTTCAGCTTCAAGTTCAATTTCGCGCTGTTCTGTCAGCGCTCTCACGAATTCGTCGTACTCGATTCGCCTGAGAAGTATGAAATTTTGCGTGTGCCTCCGCTCCGCTATTTACCCGTTGCATTTGTAGTCAACTTGCCGTAGCAGATCCTCGACGCTCGTCCCGCAAAATGAATCGCCCAAGACTGCCCGTAGATTATCCACCGATATATACTGAACGAGACGTATTGACCAAGATGATACATTGTCAGTACCCCGGTCTTGTCCACGTCCAGCTTATCGAAAACGTCTTGGATGCAGCTCTCGTTCATGGCAAGTCGAGTTAATAAGCATGCTGCTAAGAACTCCGAGTAATGAATTTCATCGTCACCAGATTGGTCCAGCTTTTTGAAAATGCGCTCAGCTTCTTCATCGTCAGTGCCGAGGTATCTCATCAGCGCTTCCTTCAAGCCCTGTAACTTAATCGTCCCGCTTCCATCTGTATCAAGCGATTTGAATTCCCGCTCGAGATTCTCGAGCATCTCGTTGCGGGACATACTAAGGGCGATCATACCGAGAGCGGCGCGTTTGATTCCGTTCTGTCGTGAAAACTGGCATAAGCCCTCGAGCACAGAGCGATCGATGCCGCCGTCTTCGCTAGACTGCGAGCTGTTTTTGGCCAGATTCGACGTGATCCATTCGTGCTTCGATGCTTCTATTGCGGACGGACGCTTAGCAGGATCCCGTTGTAGGAGGAAACTAATAAATTCCTTCGCTGAATCCGAAATTCCTGCCCAACGTGGACCTATAGTGCGAGAGCATGGGCCTACTGGAACAACGGCTCACACAAACCTTCAAATGAGAACCGGCCATTTCTGACGTTGCTGATGATTTGCGCATCAGTGCTGCCTCCGAATGGTGGTGCGCCAGATAGTATCATGTAAACGATCACCCCGATTGACCATACATCACACTTCGAGTCGTAAGAGCCCTCGAGTACCTACTGAGTGGAGTGACACACAGAAAACTCGTTTACATATCAAAGACTAGCCTCGGAGTATTGCAGCAATCACATTGCGAAAGCTCTTCCCCATGCTGTATTGCTTAATACTCAGACAATGAAACATTCACGCCGAGTGAATGTTGAAATCACGCCTTTTTGACGATTTCAAAGAGAGGTGTTTTAGTTACTACTTCTGGAGCCACATAGTAGACTGTCCCGTGCATCGCGGTCATTGGCTGATTCTGCGTGAAGACCTTGCTGAAGCCAAAGTCGATCAAACGTAGTGGTGCGTTCTCAGAGGTGTCCGCATACACCCAATTCTCGAGCTTCAAGTCGCTGAGGTGACCACTGCGCTTGCGGACGCATGAGTTGTCTTACCGGTGACAAATGTTCTGCTTGTGACAATAATGCAGAGCGTCTAGCATTTGTTTGGCGACTTGTGCTGCATCTTGTTCGCCGTATCTCTTCTTAGACGCGAGCCGCTCGAAAAGCTCCTTACCCGTACCTAGTTGAGCGAACTCCTACCACGCGAGATTCTTTTCGTTTCACACTTACATGCCTCCATCACCAGCCTCACATTCGCGTTGTCTTCATACACCTCCAGAAGGCGACACACGTTGGGGTGGTCCAAATGCAAGTAAATTTCGACTTCATTCCGGAGTAGCTGAAAGAGCACTTCGCAATCTATGGTGATCTCTTGAATAGGACTCGGTGTAAGCTACCGAGTCTTGTTCGAGCGTCAACAGTACATTTCCCGATAACGGGACCAGTGTGGGGAGAATGTGCTCATATTCAACTGCCTGTGTTGGTGACGGTATAAATTTCGTGGAAATTCCGGCGGAATTTTATTGATTCCTACATACTCCCAAACAAACTCGTTCAGTAATTTCTGTGCTTAGCGAGGGAAATCCCGAGCTCAGCAGAGAAAGGCGAACATTTATTCCAACACGGGGAACATATGATACATTTCGCGTCGATTTCGAGCTACAAGAACAATCGAAAGGGGCCCATTCAGAAACGTTGTACTCTAGACACTCCCGACCGACCTCAAACTTCCTCGAATTGAGATTCTCCGTAGTCAAAGTTTTCACAGCAACTTTCTCTCCCGTGGCTTTATTCCTTGCTAAGTACACCTTGCCATTCATACCGGTCCCTGAGGGGTCATTCACACGTAGTTGGCATTCACGAGTTTCGGCGCCCTACCAAGCACTCGGTCCTCTAGAATCTCATAAACCTGTGAAATATCTTTTTGTTTGATTCTCGCGTTCTTGATTCCAGGCCTAGCTTTCGACAAGTACTCCGCGATGCTCTTGCGGCTGGCCGTGCTTGCCGTCGCCTCCGCAGAGTGAACTGAGCGAGAGGCTATCGATATATTTCAACTCGGTCGGTTATTAGATCGTAAGTATTCAATATCGATATCAGCAATTAATAAGATTGAAAAAACCTATTAAATGCATATAATACAGATTGATTCCACATTAAACTGCTTGCGATTGAGCCTAGTCGAGGCTTACTTTTCGGAGGTTGGTGGGCATCTGTGGAGATTGCTCTGGAACAGCGACATCCCATGACGAAGGGAGACAACCTTTTGAGACTGGTGTTCGCCGACGGCGACGATTATGCGCCGGTGTGTAAATTATTCCGCTTACGGTTTTTTTGTAAAATCGTTGAGCTTAAGCAACGAATATCGATGAGAGTTCCTCAGCAACCTACACGCTGCAGTGATACGTTTTTGTGGATCCTAAGGTTGTGTGTGCTACGGCGGTCGCTGAGGTGGGCCAAGGGCAGCTTCGGAACAATTACCATTCGGTATCAACTGTCGTAGCTCCTGCTTTGAATGGTGAAGCGGTAAGCTGTTTGCCTCACCGAGGCCGAGGAACATGTCAGAAGTCACCTGTGTTTTTTGCGAGTAACTTGCCGTCCTCAAAGCGTGTTAATTACGTTGCTGGTCGATTTCTAGTAGTTAGTTCACGCATTGTCTTTTTCGGCGGCTTGTAAACGCTAATATCCACTTACTTTCTGTTTCGCTTTGATTGAGAGCGCCTTGTGATCGATTATGAATAGTCGCAAGGAAACTGGTTCGCTACGAGATCACTCCTCCACGCTCCTGAGGAGTGATAACTGCTGTTGCCTCAGCCTGGTCCTTTCTTGGTTTATTCCTATCGTTCATAATGAGCTACCCTCAAATGGCAGCTATGGGAGGCGGACGTCAGCCCGTTTTGATTTTGAACCCTTCAGCCAAGAGAGATAGCGGTCGCCGTGCTCAGCTCTCGAACATCAACGCTGGGAAGGCCATTGCCAGTATGATAGATGGCTCTCTCGCGAGTGATGGAGTGTTCAGGTATCGTTCGAAGTACTCTTGGACCGAAGGCGATGTTGAAGATGCTCCTCGATCCCATGGGAGGCATCGTCCTCACCAATGACGGTCATGCCATTCTAAGGTAAGGAGGAGCATCAACCTGCATGTCGCTAATTTGACATCTCAGAGAGATCGACGTGACCCATCCCGGTGCCAAGACGATGATGGAACTTTCGAGGGCACAGGACGAGGAGGTAGGGGCTCAAATCCTCCAGAATGTTGTGGTGAGATGTCCGCTCAGGTTGGAGATGGCACTACGTCTGTTATGATTCTCGCTGGTGAGATGCTATCTGCCGCTGAGCCTCTGCTCGAGCCCAGCAGGAAGATCCATCCGACTAAGATCGTTGCTGGCTACATGAAGGTACAGGCTGGGAAGGTCGTTGTTCAGTAGAATATACCAGTGAACTGTTCCTCAGGCTCTCGAGGACATCAATAAGTTTTTGCCTGAGATTGCTGAGAACATTGACGCTAACGACCAGGATCAGCTCTTGAGGACCGTTCGGGCGAGCATCGACACCAAATTCGCTAACAGGTAATTGGTCTGATCACTTACAATTAGTAGTAGTGCAAGGTAAACTTTGCGTGATAGTGGGGGTCATATCATTTCAGAACTCGATCGGCCGTTGTCACTTGTTCATTACCGCTAGGGGCGTTGGTCAAAGCAAGTGTCTCCTGTTTCTCAGGTGGGGTTCTATGATTTCGGAGCTTGCCCTGAAGGCCGCCCAAGTGGTGAAGATTGATCGTCCCGGTGCTAAACCAGAGATCGATCTCAAGAGATACGCCAAGGTATTTGTCCGAGCTCGAGGCTGCTTGAAGACCTTCCTTTCAGGTCGAGAAGATCCCTGGCGGTGATTTGAGCATGTGTCGAGTCCTTGATGGAGTTATGCTCAACAAGGACGTCACCAATGGGAGGATGCGACGTGTCATTCGGTGCGATTCTTCATCGGCGGTTTATGGATGTCGTTTCTTATCGTTCTCTCTCAGGAACCCACGTATTGTCTTGCTTGATTGCACTCTAGAATACAAGAAGGGTAGTTTTCAGTCGATCGCTTTCTCGGAAGAAGTGACTTCGTTATCAGGTGAATCGGAGACCAGCGTTGAGGTGACCAAGGAGGCGGACTGGGCTGCCTTGCTACGTCAAGAGGAGGAGGAAGTTCAGAAGGTAATAAGAATTCTGTAAATTGTTGTGATTTTTTTCTGTCAGATTTGCGACCACATTCTCGCGGTGAAACCCGACTTGGTCATCACAGAGAAGGGCGTGTCTGACCTGGTAAGCCTCAATGAGGTTGTTGCTGTTGTCCTCAATGGTGGTGATCTCAGGCTCAGCACTTCCTCATGAAACAGAATGTTTCAGTCATTCGCAGAGTTAAGAAGACCGACAACAACCGTATTGCTAGGATTGTAGGGATCTGCCACTGCAGCATACCGTCATTCTTTCGACTTTCAGTGTGGTGCCACTATCGCGACAAGAGCCGAGGAGCTCACTGAAGCCCACGTTGGAACTGGGTAGGAATATGACCTCAAAGCATCTAGGGTGAATGATTCTACTTATCAGATGCGGAACTTTCAAGGTTCAGAAGGTCGGCGACGAGTGGTATACCTTTTTGGTCGACTGCAAGGAACCTAAGGTCAGACATGTTTCATGTGCGCGGGTTTCTGATGTGTTCGCTCAGGCGTGCTCAGTCGTGCTTCGTGGTGGTAGCAAGGACGTTCTGAATGAAATCGAACGAAACTTGCAGGATGCTTTCTGCGTTGCTAGGTAGGGTACCTGATCTTGCTCGAGTGTTACTCTTGTGTATGTTCCTTAGGAATATTCTTATTGATCCTCGCCTCCTGCCTGGTGGTGGTGCTACCGAGATGGCCCTCGCTGCTAGACTCAACGAGCAATCCAAGCTGGTTGAGGGAATCACCCAGTTCCCCTACAAGTGAGTCATACTAGAAAGTTTTTTTACCGATTGGTGTTTTCAGGGCGGTCGCTTCTGCATTGGAGGTCATCCCCCGTACTTTGGCTGCCAACTGCGGTATCGATGTGGTAAGATGTGTTTGCTTGCATTGTTATCCTAGGCGAAAGCTTCCATGTAGGTCCGTATGCTAACTGATCTTCGCAGTAGACATGCGAAGGGAGAGTACTGGTGGGGGATCGACGGCACCACTGGTGAGGTCGTAGACGTCAGAAAGGTGATATCCTCCCAACGATTGAGTCGAGTATGAATCTCGTTTCTTTTTCAGGAGGGTATTGTTGACTCGTACCTTGTCAAGCAGCAAACCTTCAAGGCCTCGATTGAAAACTCTGCTATGATCCTAAGGTCGGTTTGGTCAGTTGCATTCGTCCGGTGATGTTGATTCTTTCAAGGATCGACGATATCGTCAGTGGAATTTCTCATCACGATAAGGCTGGTGCGGCTGCCGCTGCTGCGGCTGGAGGTAATGTCTAACGTCGGTCTGCCTGTTCTCATTTTTAGTGTGCGTTGTCTAGCCATGCCAGCAGAGTAGAGTCCTTTGACTCACTCAGTAGACTAGATGCGCACACTTACTGTTACTCATTCAGATGAAGAGCCTAATGAGACCTTCGGCGACTCTCGCGACGGCTAAACTTCCATTATTAACGTCCCTGGTGTTGCCGTAGTTCTGAGACGAGACACAGCACGTGCGTGTTGTTTCGAAAATACCATCGTTAACGTCGTTTTGTGGGTTGAACATAATTTCCAAAGTTTTTGTAAGAGTTGTGTTTGAGACTTACTGACATGTTTCTGGTTAATGCTACTTCATTCGAAACACTTTTTGAGCGATCGGAGTGTAATGGTATTGAGAGATGGGATGAGAACGTCTGCGACTGTAGCAGAGGAAATTTTTTCATTGAGGGCAGAGCAAATATGAAATATATGAGCGTAGAGGATGTTCATCGAATGATATGTTCGTTCAACATCCGAATATGCATCGTCCTCTTACCGTGTTGCCAAGTTCTTCAGAATCACTTAGAATGTGTTATAATAACATATTCGGGTAAGTGATTCTACAGTGGTATGGTATAAGTTGAGCAATAACACTGTTATTGATGTTGAAGTCACGTCATGGGTCGTTAGCTGCAATTCATTTTGAGACTGGCGACAGGAAGTCACATTGTCTGATAAGGTTTAGGGAGAAATCTCTAGATGCATAGTGTTGGATAGTCCGTTCCCATCTTTTTGTGCACCTCTCTGTGTGTCTGCGAGCGTTCCTTGAATATGATGAGTGTAAGGGTCTAGGGATAGCGAGTAGACGTTTTTGATGATGTTATCTCTTTTTACGGGTGCTTAGAAACCCCTACTCCTGCATCCAGGCCGTGCCCGTTAGTCGTGCTCGAACGACGTTGTTTACAAGGATCTAGTGGTAGCTATCGCCTGTTCATTCGGGACTGTGAATCGATGAGTCTACTATAGATCGAGCTGCCCACTGACTACGTTCTGTACATCTTCTCGGCGGAATTCAGACAAGCTAGCCTCGCAATTTGGGAATTGGTTTTCGCAGTAGCCATTATGGCCTCAAATTATCTAGGTTTGGAACAAAGTACGGTCACTTTTTATGAGAGATGTCTGGTCGCATGTCTGGCCGCTGCTATTAGCAGCATTCAGAGTCTCCGAGTATCTCAAGTTCGTAGAGAAGGAAAACGTCTGAGTTGGACCAAGTTGACTTGTCCTGCTTGGACTGCTGAGACTTGGCTGGTTGAGCTGGTAAATCTTCAATGAGTTGGGTTAAGGCTAAGATAGCATGCAATGGCTTCACTGTGGAAGCGATGATAATGATATCGCTCTCAGACGCCTCGACGGACTTTGACGGGTCACGATACGTTGGGCAGTTTTGACACTCGCGGAGACAGCGATTTTCGTGCGAATCGTGTTGGGTGGCACTCACTGTCTCCGACTTCTGGTGATGAGGTGAAGATCAGTGAGATGCGGGAGGGGTTCATCATACCACCGTTGCGGCGACGGCTGAGGTGAGCTAGAGATCAACCGACGGCGGAGCGAAGTGTTTCTGCAAGCTAGGAGCGTCGGGGCTGGTGGAAAGTCTCGGACCATCCGAACCATTGCTGAGGACTCTTCGCGAGTGTCTGGGGCGTTACGGCTCCGTGCAACCGCAGTAGTTGAGAACCAGTGTTGGAATATGTGATCTCCTTTATTCCAGCTCGGAAGTTCCCTCACTAGCACAGTTCCCTGTTCATTACCTTCTATAACTAGTGACACTAGTTATAGAAGGTAATAAACAAATTCGGGTAGAAGTGTTCGGGTAACTTTTTTCGGAATTCTCACCGACACATGTAGTTGACCATGTGCATGTTTCCTCATACCGCTCAGGACACGGCTACTACGGCCAGATGTAGCTGAATCAACTTTCGTTCCGGTGGAAACATTTTTTCTTGGTTCGTTCTCAGCTTCTCACAAGTTGGGACGCTCTCTCCTTCCCATCTCATGATGTATGACTTGACTATTTGAAAACGACGGCGAGCTTCTGGTAGTAGACACCTGCTGTGTGCGAACGGACCTCGAATTGCATCCCGGGACGCGCGAGACGTAACGTGTTTCTCTGTCTCGCTAGGTCTCGCATGCAGATTAGTTTTCAACTTTGTCTGAATGAGTGCTCCTACTCTACTTCGTCGCCGAGCAGTGGTCCGAAACATCGCGTTCGGACTCTCCGGTGGTTTTGCAGCTTCCTATATTATTGACAACCTCGACTCTGTACTAAAAGGCTGGACAAGGTAGTAGTGGAGCCACGTTTATGTGTGCGCCAACTCGATGAGAGGTCCCCCCCATCACATATGGGTGTGCATGTGTACGGGGATAATCCAATTTGATTTCAGGATGGTTGTAGATGTAGACCAACGTTTGCCTGGATTGATGACTCCTGATTTTCGAAGTCGATTGTTACTCAAGGCGGCGAAAAGAGTTCATCGCGATGGAAGCGATCGCAAGTTCGTACAAGAAGTAGGTCGAGGGTCAACTGTCATTCACATTTTCCGCTGTATTAGACTCTATCTAACTTGGCCTTGGACGACTTGGCCATCTACCTGGAATCGTTATCGTCTATGGATCATCTACTCTCTGATGCCGAGCGCGATGAGCTAGTGAAAAAGGGCCTAGACAATTGGGATCACTGGAAGAACGATGGTCGTTTTGGTAGTACTAAAAACAGGGGCTAAATGAGCTAGCATCTGAGTGGAGAAACTCCTGTTATTTTCTATAAGATTGCACTGAAGTCATGTGCCAATTTTCATAATCTAGTGAGGAAACCGAGCAAATATACCTATGCTGATGATAGAACTCTCGAAAATGCTGCTGGTATAGTTCGTTCCGTAATTTTCGAGGTGAAGGCGATTTGTGGGGTCGAATTCATTCTTCCTTCTCATAACTTGGTTCGGTGTAGAAACTCACAAGGGAGACTCTCGTCAGAATTTAATCTCTTTCACACAGATGTCGACCAGCGATCTAAGCTCACAGTTGATCTGGCATCGGTAGTGTCCAGGGACTTCACATCGAGTAGTAGCGTGTACAAGCAAATGGTCAGCAAGATGCAAGGTAGTCCATCGACTGGAAGTTCACAGCAGCTTTTGAATTCAGGTCAACGATCTCTGAAGCCTCAGCTTGAATCGCCAAGGTACCACGACTTGGTGGAGTCCTTGGAAAAGAGAGTGAGGGAATCTCGCGAAGGGCTATGGTGAGAGTTGCCTTTCCAGTTTCGTCGTATCTAATATGACTAGCATTGCAAAGTTTCGAGAATTCCGAGTCGTATTTCCTTATGATCTCCGGTGCCCCCACTCAACACTCGTGAATGAACTTGTTATGAAGCTCATATAGACTAATGGGTATCTCCCCTGGTTTTTCAGTCTGTGTACGGCGTTGTCGAAGGCTGGTGGGATTAGCAGCGCTGATTATGATAGAATGGTCGCGGTTCATGATCAGCTGTATGGGCACATTCAAAGGAGGCAATGTGGCCTGGCAGGGTTCGCTATGGCTGGTGAGTGACTTTCTGACACGGCTATGGTTGGACTATAAGCTCAGGTATTTTGTCGGCGGTGATCTACTATCAAGATTATGTTCTCCATCCGTTGCTACCGTGAGATTCCCTTCCGTCTTCAGCAGTTTATAGTGTGCATATTTGGAAAGCCCCTATATGACGATTTAACATAGTATCGCCCAATGCTGGCTATTGGGTCGCTCTGAGTGCATATGTACATCTTAGAATGCATGCGATTTGTGTTCGAGTTGGCTCAGCTGGTGACCTCTACTGTGTCAGTGCTATATTTGTGCGTTAGCAGCATGGCTAGCCCTCCGTCAGGAATGTGTAAGTCCGTCACGTGGATTTCACTCGCACTCATTTGCTTGCCTCCCCGTGTGGTAGAATATGCACATAGTCAACTACATGCGATAATGACAATATGAGGATTCTGGGGAAATTTCAGACGAATTTCGCTGGTTTATATACACTTCTAAAGTCTTGAGCTCAGCTGTTGGAAGCGAACGTATATCTCAACACTGTCTCAAGCAGACACTGCTGAGATCATCGCGTCGTGGTTTGTTTCAGCTCCAGAGAAGCGTGGAGATTTCTATCTTCGTAATGTACCAGATAGGTGGAAACAGGTGGGGGGCGTATACGGCAGACTACTCAGACTGTTTTTTCGGTCACAGTACGACCCGGATCATCCGCCGTACAAGTTTTTTCCTGGGCGAACGAGATCTCAGACGAGACAGTAGAAGGCGATGAACGTAACAGTGACTTGTACAGTGACTCCTCAGATGGTCGGGGGTGATGTTCGTCGTTACTATCGCTGTTGCATATATCGCCTATCAATTGAATGAAAAACGGCAGGCCAAATTGGAGAAGGTCAGTAGTCGTAGGGCGCATCTCGTATGAGCTCCATGTTCAGTTCTTCGCGGAGCGAGAACATGAGTTTCTCCTACCGGTCCATCGAGAGGCTATATACTTACAGGAGGAAGCGGTAAGAGACGACTCAGCAGTGGTAGCGAAAGGTTCTTTGCAGTTGCAAGCTTCCGCGATCCGAGCGAGGCGACGCGCGTTGGGATTGCCGGACAGGGCTACAGGGTCGTGTGAGATTCGCGATGATGAGCCGCTGGAAGGTGTTGATGATGATGATGATGATGAGGAGGAGTGAGCATGAGTGCTTCAGCATCTCGCGTAGTGATCACGAGTTTCGGTTGACCTCCGGTTGGTTGCGTTGTCATCATCGCGAGTGGGATAATGTTCAGTGATAACCGTGAATGTCATTTCCTGCACTGCGAGTGGCCCCGCGTGTGGAATACACTGCTGAGGTTATCGTTTTGATAACAACGCTGGGTGTCAACCGCAGGGAGTATCTTGATTCGAAGCGGGTATGCTCGCGGATTATTTTTTGTCCGAAGTTGCAAGACACGGGTGGTCTGGGAGCATTTGCGGGAAATGAGTCCGGCGCAAATGCTGTTGTTCTGTTGTTAATTTTGCTTGTATAACGTGGCAATATCAAAGGGTCAGAGTGCGCGGTAATACAGCTAGGGAATTTATCAGATTCGAGATCATCTCAAAGTCTTCGGTGCGCACCACAAGGTCATCGACATGAATCGAGATTCGGCAGTCGACTTTATTTTCCTCGGCCAGCGCCGGGAGTCTGCCGCCGTGGAAAGGACTGACAGACATGTTGAGGTATTCACAATGATCAAATATGGATATGGTCAGCATGTTGGAATTTGCTTGGTGAATAACGCGCCAATTCTCTGCTTTCGCAATGCAGAGTTGACACCGGTGCTCAACTGGTTTTATGTGCGGCAAGAGCCTAAGCGAACTCGATAACACCACGTAGCGTACGATAATATCGTCTCCTTATAGTAGAAGTTTTCCACATACGGGAAAGACGAAACTGTGTATGTTGCGAATTAGTAGTCTTAATTGTGAGTGTATATCGCGATGGCGAACAGCATCGTTGCAGGTCGTTCGGAATCTCCACCGTTCTCGACGTATACATCTGACTGCTGATGGATCTCCGGCGGTGCCACAAATATTCCTCGACGGCTGTAGCATTGGTGATGCCAATTCATTGCAGGTTTGAGACCTCTCTTTTTGCTACTTCGATCTATTATGTGAATGTAGGATCTGGACGATCGTGGCGTGCTTGGCGCACTCCTACGGAGGGAAGTGTGCCCGTCGTGCCTTGCTAAGAGATCTCGGACGACAATACCATACCACTGTAGAAAATGCAACATCGAGATGAAGGAGTACATGTCTGGTATGCTAATTGATTTCGAAAGGCTTCTGCGAGTATCTGCCTTTCTTGGATTGGGTCATCGGGATCGAGCCTTTTCTTTCAGGGTATCAAACGATCGAGGAAGCTATGGAAGCAATCGAATCGGGTGAGCTGCGTTCGTTTTGATCGAGAACATCTCATTTTTCAGCCGAGCGTTACACTCGCAGTACAAGAAGCGAAGTCTCGGAGTGCGAACCAGAAGCTGAAGCTTTGACAATTGATATACGATAATGTTGCTTCCATGTCCAGTTGCTCTCCTGAGTTTTTTTTCTGGGCGAGCGAAATCTGAAAGGCTGTTTTCGCAAATTTGCACAAACGCACATCGCTCCGCTAGCCGCGTTCAGGGTTGTCACTTCTAACGCTAATAACCTTCATCGTTCTGTTATACCGTCATGAACCCTGAATAGTAAGTGGAGGGATGGAGGCTCTTGCCTTGATATGTGAAGGCCCTAGATCTGCATAGACAATGTTCATTCTTAGAGATTGTAGATTGAAATGCAGTCGCGAAATTTGGGAAGGGTCAAAGGTTTCCCGTTTGCGAGCTGTCGTCAATCTCTATTTGACGATAAGATATTATTATGATTTCCGCCCAGGATACAGTATTTTCGCGCAAGGGTGCCAGGGGGAATGAGGACACCCTAGTTCAAGCTTGTCTCTTATTATACGAGGTCGAATGTTCTTTTTTTTTCAGCGACTACTTATTCAAGTTGCTGTTGATCGGCGATTCAGGTGTAGGAAAGTCGTGCTTGCTGCTAAGGTTTGCTGTAAGGAGGATCTAATGGGACTGTTGGGCAGTGGCGTGATTTCAGGACGACACTTACACCGAATCTTACATCTCAACCATCGGGGTTGACTTCAAGATTCGTACCATTGAGCTGGATGGGAAGACTGTGAAATTGCAGATTGTAATTTTGTGGAGACCTTTGACTGTTCTGACGATCGTTTTTTCAGTGGGATACGGCTGGCCAGGAGCGATTCAGGACAATCACTTCAAGCTACTATAGAGGCGCTCACGGCATCATCATTGTGTAACTTGGTCGCGACTGAGTTGGTGGTATTTTGTGATTGTCTTATGTGTGTAGGTATGATGTTACAGATCGTGAAAGCTTCAATAATGTTAAACATTGGGTGCAAGAGATTGACAAGTACGCGACGGAGAACGTCAGCAAGCTGCTGGTCGGGAACAAGACTGATCTCACATCGAAGAAGGTGAACCAATACTCGTCGTTCTAGTGCTTGCTAAAAGTGTTAGTGTCCGTGATAGCAGTCATCATGGCTTTGTTTGTATTTTAATGCTGAGGTTTTAGAGGCTCTCCGCTCCTGTGTATCACTGTGAACAGCATTTTTAGGTCGTTACTTACGACGAGGGTAAGGAGTTAGCAGACCAGCTTGGAGTTCCATTCCTGGAGACATCTGCGAAGAACTCGCACAACGTGGAGCAGGTAAGGGTCAGGGAAGCGTGGAGGGGAGTGATTCCTGTCTCGTGGTAGGCCTTCATCGAAATGTCCAGCGAGATCAAGTCGCGTGTTAAGACTGCGCCTCAGCCCAATCGATCGGGAGCTGGTGCGGCACGTCTCAGGTAATAATACTTCTGCGGTTACAACTGAGGTCCATATGAGTTTGTTGTGATAGGCCTGGTCAGCCCGCCCATGGCAACCAGTCTGGATGCTGCAGTGGCTAATTAGGAACAGCAGTTCAGCACCGCTTCCCGTATTATCATCTAAATCCATCCAAGCATATTTTCCCCTGTAGTGGATTTCATCGGCGTTAATTGGAGATGTCGAATTTTGTGGTGATGACAAGGACGCTCGTGCTGATCTGTACTTGCTTTTGAAGATATCAAAATTGCGGCTGCTGTTGTGGAAGGCTGAGAAAGGGATTGATAGTCTTCGTCGTAGGTAGTTTTATTATCCCATAATACACTGGGGCGCACACACCTCAACATTTTCTGTGGTATTGTGTTATGAAGTAACATGGTGTTGCGGGACATTTTAGCGTTTGAGAGGAATGTTCAGTCGAGGGTGCGCACGGCTCAATCCACTTGGCAGGGATTGGCGATATAAGTTGTTCCCTCGCAAAGTGGATAGAGATGCTGGATATACATGGTTGAAGACGTAGTGCAAGGGTGGGGCTAATGTCTACTCTTACCGCTGTTCGTGTAGAGATGAAGTCCACTCTAGTGCAATGGCGCTTGCTCTACATTGTAAAGCATTTTTACGTCGTGAATGTAACACATATTAATCTGTTAAGACTGAACCTTGCTACGTGTGGCTTGACTCACTGGTTGTGTGCATCTGAGCTGACCCATTGTATATGTAGTATGTAGGAAACGATAGGAAGATAGTCTATGCGTAGCACTGTATTATCGTGTGAGAATCGTATACTTGAACCGTCAGATGGATCTTGAAATAGTGAATGTGCATCTGAATAGATCGAGCATGTCGAGGTACTCCTTGTCTCGTTCATGCAGAGCTGAGCAACTTAATCTCGGTAAAACTTTATGCATGACTGTCTCATCGATGGTCGAGGCAGTGACAGCTATAGAATGTGAAACGCGATAAAAATTAATTTTGCGTTGAAATGAACGTACAATAATGAGAAGACACTGGATTGAGGAGCAGTCGTGATGAGGTGTTACCCTCGAGAAAATATCATCTTATTTATTGAACTCAATGAACTTGCTTTGGTTCTAGATACCCTTTGCTGACCAAAAGACACGTAAAACTGCACGGATGGTATCACAATGACCCCTGGGGAAAACTTAATTCCTTCGCATACTTCGCGTCTTCTAGGCGGACAGTTCGACGGTCAACTATACAGTAATCATCCTCGAGCAAGGTCAGTTTGCGCTCAGATCTGATCAGGTTTCTGCTCAAAAATCGAGATTTGTCGAGGTTTTGCGAGTTGATCATGATGTGCGATCCCTCCGTCGTTCATGAGCTCAACTTGACAGGACCGTAGGGAATTCGGCTTAACTCGTTTGCTCATTTTCTAAGGGGCGGTTGTTGCGATGTATTCAGGTACTCACTGTTCGTACCGCATAATGCTGCATTTGATCGCGTGAAAGGAGGGTAGAAGATACCGTACAAGTTAAGTGAGTAGCCCACGCAGGTTCGAACATGTGAAAGCTACAATAGAAGCTAATCCGGACAAGGGCAGAGATTTCATTCGAAATCACTCAATACGAGGCAATATAATACTGTAAAGCGGCATTTGCTAACTTGTGACATTATTGCTGAGTATGCAGAAATCGTATGATAAAAAGACCCGAGAATAAGCCCATGTTCACGCTCAGCCAGACGCCGATACGAGTGGAAAGGACGAAGCGAGCGGGGGAATACAGTGGGGTTCTGAGAGGCTCTCTGGTTGAGCATTTCGGGCAGTATTTCAGGTCCAGCGGAGTATCATCTGTTGTCAGTACACAAGGATGGCTCGAGGGCGGAAACACTGCCATGCCGAATGTTGAGGTAATTTACCCAAAAAGGTCACGCGTGATGAACTACGTATGTTAGATGGGATATAAGATGCTGTAATGGGCTTTTGCATGTTATAGATAGTCCTTTGTTTGTGTTCGAAGGATGATCACTGCTACACTGATTGTTGTTTCTGGATGTCATTCATTGTGTCGTTGCCAATGAACGGGTGTTCACGGGGGATGGGTGGAAATTCCCTTATTCGTAAGGCAAAAATTTGCGTTACATAAGCTGAGCTGGCAATTATCGTAATTGGTGGTAATGATAATGTGCAAAGGAGTTATATGGTTGGTCACCCTGTTCCCGCTGCTGAGGTGGGCGAGGGATCTCTGAGGAGGATTGCGTATCCTCAAGCACCTGGAGAGAAGCTAAGCACGATGGATGCTCCATAGCGTTTGAGATGTCATCGGGCTTACCTGAATTAAAATCGTAGTTCATGATAATGAGATTGAGCGCCTGTCGTATATTCGACTTGGCAGTATGAATGCGTAGAGAGAATAACTGCGTTGTTGTTGTGTAGTTGGAATTCCCTTGCTCAAATATGTATTTGGGAGACATTGTTTGGAATCAATTTTGTGCAGGATGCGGACATTGCTTCCGATGTTCTGCATTTCACCACGGACTTTATATGATGGAAACATACTGGTTGAGATGAGAGAGGCCGACTTGGTGGCTCAGCTAATGATGAGTGTGTGCTGGAATATCATCCATGTTCGAGGTTTTTCCCGTACAACTCGCTTTTCTACTCCATGAGTTGTACTTTCTTACTACAGTTAGTGCAACGAATGGTAACTCTGAAATATGCTTTTGCGAATTACTCTGGGATTGCCTCGAATTGCCGGGTTAGTGTAGTTTTCTTGCCTGGTGTATGAACAATTGGCGAGGAAAATAATCGACATCTGTTGTGTTCGTTTTGGGGTCTCAGGATAGTTGCGACTGTGATTACTGTACATTACTGGAGTGCGTTCGGCTTGATGCTTGTTATGAACCAACGCGAGAATGACTGAGGCAAAGATCATTGATAGGAATTCTATCATACGCACATCATCGCCGTTTGGGCAATTCGGTATGCGTCCAGGGAAAATTGGTGTCTATCGGATTTCGGCAATTTGCAAATCCTCGTCGATCCGCCAGTGGCAGTCAATGCACAGTATTGGATTTTCATGTGTGTGAACACGGGCCTGCGACGCACGGCTGCTGACTCCCGACACAGCTCCGACTGGCTCCCTGTTTCGGAAAGAGTGCATGTGTCGTCGACTCGGCTGAGCTCAGCACATACAGGTGAGGCATGAATTTAATTGGTATTATAAACGTGCTTCTGCTCGTAGTAGTACCCCAGAGAGTGGGAGGCGTATTAGCTTTTGACAGGAAGGACCTGCATACGAGTAGTAAGAAGGGTGGAAGTGGAGTGGCTCACGAGTCGACGTGGTTGTGCGGCTTGGTTTTTGTAGGCTACCCTTCTCGACGTGGGGAGCCTCAAAGTTGTTTTCATACGCCTCCATTTTACACAAGTGACTTGCGAAAACGAGAACCGAAGTATTCCCTCTTATGGAACTCTGTGAGTAGTGTGGTTTCCGTGCAGTTCTTTGGGCAACCGGGAGAGAAGAAAGTTGTCTCGACGGGGGTCATGTGAGCCTCTACCATCCTCCAACCGTCGTAGGGGACATCGCCAAGGCTCTCTGACAGCAATCCTTGCGGGTATTGATCGAGCTCACTAGTGGGCTCTCGGTACAGTGTTGCCTCAGGGAGGTCGCTAGTTACTAACGCAGTACCAGGGTACTTTGGTCACATTCCAAGAAAGTATGTGGAGAATGTCTATGGATTGCCGTTCATGAGAGCCAACGCGGTGTCTTCGTCTATGGATATGCTATCGCACGAGGACATTGAGGTAGTGCAGAGCCTTATATTTTCACGCTAGCCTTTGCGTGGGCCTCCCAGGCTGCTATACGGCAATCAGATGTTGGCCTTCCAGAGGCTAGAAGGATGCGGAAACACCTTGAGGTGCGACAATGTGATTGTCTTCTTCTCCCAAGTATGATGCTTCTCGCAAGGTCGCTAATAGAGCTCGATGGAGAGCCATGCGTAATCGGGAACAACGCAATTCGACAGCTACCGAAACATGGTGTGCTAACATGAAGAACCCTACAAAGCCGCACAACGCTGTGAGAAGTGTCTGATTTGATTCAATATGTGTTCTCGCACAAGGCGGATAATTTCGTCTGCAAGCACGCGTCGAAATCTGGCTTTCTGTTCAGTGGCGAGATTATGGTATTGTCGGCTACCAGGGTTTCAAACCATTCTGGAAGACAGATGAGGATTTCTATATGAAGTAGCGTCGCTTTCACTAGGAGCTCGGTATTTCATCTCTCAGGAAGCGAGAATTGGGAAAGCTCAATCCACCATATTTACCAAGGGCCTCTTATCATACCATTCTTGCGGCAACTGTCTAGTCTGCGCATGATGACATGCCATAACCTTAGATGCAACCCGATTAAGGCTAGATAAGGTGCACTGCTTTGAAGTGCTTATCTATGAAATGTACTATCGTTGGTGTGTTGTGTTGAATAGTTTCACTGAAGTTCTATCCTCGATTTCGATCCGAAACCATGCGGAATCGAAGGATGGGTGTAGACAACCAAAATGACTAGAAGTATTACAATTGGTAGAGCTTCCCGGGTGCAGAATTTAAAAGGGTTGAGCGACGTGAATACGAAGTCCTATTCGAGTTTTGGGAAGTCGAGATCGCGGTTAGTCTGTAAATTTTATATACATGAAGCGGATTGGGAATTGAATAGCCTTCTCATCTCCGAGTTCTCTATGTGTTTCGATGCTCTCAGTCTTGGATTCCGTCGCACTGCGGTAGATTCAACCATATGCGACGTCTCTTTTCTGTTGGGGTTGGTAACAGTGCAACACTACGTAGTGGTTTGTATCCTGCAAAAATGGTGCGCAGTAAGAACTCCTCGAAAAAGGATAAAAACGTGAAAGACTCGCCAGACTGCGTGGCTCCTACTTCCTGTGACTTACTGAGTTGCGTAACGAAATGTCCGCGAACCAGTCAGGCACGGATAGCGATCCGAGCAAAACCGGGAGCTAAGGTGAGCGCAACAACGATATGATGAGATTCCAACTGTACCGGTTTCGAATTCGTATTCATAGACTGTTGACAGTACGTAATGTTTAGGTGTCCTGTCTCACTGGGATAGATGCCGAGGGTGCTCTGGGTGTACAGCTGAATGCTTCTGCGAGAGATGGCGAGGCGAATGAGGAACTGTTGAGCTTCCTCTCGAAGGAAGTACTCGGTGTAAAGAAGAAAGATGTGGCTCTTGTCCAGGTAGGGTTCATCGTCCTTGACCCTTTGATATGAGCAGTGTCGGAATATATGTTCGTTTCTTCAGCTGAACTTAGGAGTTTTTTCACTAACTACAGAAGTTCATGTACGAATCCGGGTAGAAATGCACAGTAATCAACAATAGTCTCACAAAATTTCCTCAGAAGTCTCATATTGTCACCAACGTCTACGGTTGAGCATGTGCATATTTTCTCACAAGGTATATGAACGGGAGATTCCAATGGCGTTGAGAAATTGAAAGTCCCCTAGCGAGTGCGGCAGGAATGACCTGAGTCGGCTCTAATATGTGGTGTATTGGTGCATTATTTGCTGCTTTGCAGGGTTCTAAGAGCCGGGAGAAAGTAGTCGAGATAGCTGATGTTCTTACTGTTGATGACGTTTCCAGACTCCTCCGCGACGAATTACAGTCTTGACTGTTCCGAGCGAGTTGTGTTCGTTTCATCACGTCCGTGTTTGTGCATCAGTGTTGCTGGATTGCGAATACAAATTTTGGTGAATTGTTGTCTGAATATCAGTATCATAAATCGCAAGGAATGGTGACTGATAGCATCAGTAATGAGTCACCCTATTTGCGCACATTCATCGCTATAAGCAGTGTTGGACATGTCACCAATCCCTTCGAGAAGTGATGGTAGTTTCACTAAGTTTGATGCCACCGTCAGAGAAGCCTGACCAAGGTGAACCTGGGATTCCCGGGCCGTCGAGTTTCAAGAAAAAGGGGCCAAACCCTCTTTTCTCGACTCGCCACAATCCCGCTACATCAACTACAATGCAGTCGAGAGTGGGTCAAAAGTGAGTTGCATACGTTCGCAATATAGAATATTCGCACTCCTGTGAAAAGAGGTCGCTCTAATCCCACAGTGGTATTCTCATCTGTCTTCTTCACTCATCGTGGTGACATTATGGATACCATGGCACAGTGTTGAGAGGCCGATCAGGAGATGTCGGTACTTGATTCTAACGCGCGCTCGCTCAGACTCCAAGCTGAACGGTTTGGAGTACGAGGACTGGTGACAGAGAAACGCCAAACTCAGCATGCCGAGTGAGTGGTGGTTCGTCCCTTTCAGAACTACTCTGTGACTCGAGAGCTTCGACTCGAGAGATAGAGTGACTGAGTCTGCTTCTGGTGTGTTGGATCATTCTTCGCTCGTGACAATTTGGTTCCAGGCCTCCTACTAAGTTCGACACTGATCGCCTCAGGAAGGCATTCGATGCTTGTGATTTCGATCTCTCCGGTGTCCTAACCAAAGTGGGTGCATCTCATTCTCCCCATTTAAGTGCTTCGTGACTTCAGGATAAAATCCGCCATGTACTCGCCCTGCTTGGCGAAGTGGTTGACGAAGCCATCCTAGAAACCATGCTAGGTGACGATATGGCTGACTATGTGGAACCTCAAGTTCTATTTCAAGAAATGGCGGATTGTGATGGCGATGGGCGAATAACGTGGGACGACTTTGCCACACTGTTTCGAAATCCGGCGAAAGCGTTCCAGCGAGCGGATGCCAGAGATGACCGGGTTAGGCTGGAAAGTAAAGACCTCGAGCGGCAGCAACTGGAGAGGAGAAAACAACAGCAAGAGTTGATATTGACTATCCAGGAGGGGAAGATGGCTCACACAGAGGAGATTGGGCTCCTTGGTAACTTTCTTGTGTGTTCGTATCATGATGGCCGACTGTAACACTAACGGGAAAAAGTTGTTCCTGGCCGAGGAACCGCTGTTGGCATTCACACGAGCAAAGCCGCTCGATCTCAGACATATTCACTCGATTAACCGGATCTACGTCAATACAGCCGAGCGACCTAAAGCACATGTACAAGCTATTCAAAGAGATTGATACGGTGGGTAATTGGTTGTTTGTGTAGTTATTCATGTAAGACGAATCATCTCAAATAGAATTCACTTGGTCGATTACTGTATGCACATCCAACACATACAGTTCAGTTCCTTCAAAGTATTCCTGAAAACTTGCGAACCACATTACGTATTTCACGTCAATGAATGAAACGAGTTCGTGACACAGAGACCAAACGGTGAACCGTAGATGGGTTGCTTACAACTCTGCTTCAAGACAGTGCCTTCATAACGCTCAGGAAAAATCGGGGGAGCTGGGCCTGGACAAGTTCACGCGAATGTTCCCTGGACAAGATGCTGCTTTGATTGAACGTATGTTCGACCTGTTCGATACGGATGGTAGCGGCATCATCGAATTGAGGAAGTTTATCATCGGTACGTGCCAGATATTCGAGCACTTACTAGTGACTTCCTTCTAGTCTCGCCAGAGCTTTGATGATTTTCGACTTTCTTGTGAGATGGGAAACGGCGTTTGTTGCGTCTTGACAGGTTTATCGAACGTCTCGAGCATTTCGACTGTCGAGAAAGTGAAACTCGCCTTCAGCTTGTATGATTTGGGCAACTCGGGCTCGCTGGAATACGCTGAAGTCCTGCAGCTGCTCATTGCTGCACAGGCCGGAATAGGGCCAATCAGCGACTCAGATGTTCGCACTCGGGTGGGTTATGCGTGTGCCTACGATAAGTCCAGTTCTTTCGGGGACGATTTTCGGGCATTCCGATAGGCCCACGAGGTCTACGCCAATCTGGGAATTGCCCCGGAGGGAAGCTCTGGTGGCGAAGATGACATATATCCATGTCTATCATATGAGCAGTTCGTGAACATCGCCGAAGAAAGGCCTCAATTGTTGCTGCCAGTACATGCTCTCGCCCACAATGCCTTGGCTCAAATGCCTCACTGTTGATGCTTTTCCTGGTTGATGCGATAATTGTTGTGATTTGATGGGAGTGACTGTAACCACACATCTTGTGTAGGGCAACCAAATTCTTCAGTGTTTATCTGGCGCGCGCTACATTTTGATGCGTGTCAAAATAGGTCTCCACCTCAGTTGACTGTGCAACCTGCTAATCGTGGAATTGCCTCTAGATCTTCTACACTTTATGAAGAGTATCATGATCCGTCCAACGATAAATTGAAAATCTACATTGACACTCAAATGTCCAAGAGTGACGCAGTGCGGACGAAAGTAAACTGTTCAGATCATATCTTCATGACCGTTTCGCTGAGTTGGGGGCTAACCGGCTGAATGAACCTCAGCTCATCAGTAACACACATTAATCAACCTCCCTCATCGACATTAGAACGAATTAGCTCGACCGTAGACCTCAAACGGCGTGTACAGCTGTAGAGAGTAGTGGATATTCGCGAAATGGTGACGATATATCGTGATAGATGCTGAAGAGCACTGACTGCCATCGCGAGATGTGGATGTGGCGCGTGACCGTGCGAGTGGGTGGCCCGTCATTTGTCGTAGGCCTCGGGTTACGAGGGTGCATCTAAGGGTGCCAGGTCGAGGCAAGCAACTGCTGTCACAGCTTTCTCGTTGGCTATCACTAAGTATTGTTGGACCGAGAAGTAGGGATGAGGCACGATAATAAAATTCTTGTCATGTGGTTGATAATTTCTCAGCGGTGTATTGGCATCACAATAGCACTGTGAAGGTGGCAGCGAAGTTCATAGAGGAAATCATGTCAGTGTGTTGTGTTCCAATGTGAAAGGCGTTGCTATTCCCTATTCGACCCCCATAGTTAGTTCTAATGCCACCCGCCGAAGCACATCGCACCTTGAGTCTACTACATCGACTCCACCTTGTCGTTGTTGGGATGCTGCTGATTGCCCAATTGGTACTATCAACGAGATGGGGGCGGCCTCATTGCAAGTGTCACACTTTTCGAGTCGTGGTATCCCTCGTATTTCATCGTGGTGTTCAAACGTAGAGAT